CCCTTCCATTTTCCTGTCAAGTAAGAAATCATATACTTTTTTAATCATTTTCTCATCTGTTTTTAGCATCACTTGATCAAAGGCTGTTAGGTCTTTATAAAACCCCCCATATTTTACAATCTTTAGCATATCTTGATTGCATCTGCACCTTATACCACCAAGAGATATTAAGTCCCTGTTCTTGTATTTCTTGATCTAGTTTCAGGCCTCCATCCTTATCCAAAATATCGTCATATCTTATGATCCCTTCAAAGTTCAATACATTTGGATACACAAAAGCTTCCATAGGTGAAAGCCATCTTGGTAGTTTATTATACAATTTTGACTTTAACTTTTCCCACACTGACATTAATGATCTTCTAATAAAGTGACTTGAAAAAGTCCCATGAGACTTAACCTTCTCAAACCACATATAAGCATGCCAACCCATTTGCAAATCATGTCCTTCAAGATACAAAATTCTCTTATTTCGCAAGGTTATCCATTCTTTTAGCCAAGTTAAAATAGATGCTTGATAGTACAACATCCAATCAGGAAGACCAATACCCCCATTCTTTTTGGTTTCTTGAAGCATTTTTAATTTAATCCTTGGTTTCTTTTTTCTCCAAATAAATCTTGAAATTTGAGAGTTTAAATCATCAAAGAATTTTTTATCAATTTTTATGGGAATCATTTGGAACAAAAACAAAAGTTTTGGCAGTATATTCGTTTTAACAAGTGCTATTCTTCCCATCAAGGACAATTGTAAATTGGCCCATTTTTCCAGATCACCTTTAATATCCTTCAATAATTTATCGTAATTATCTTCTTTTAAAGTGGTACATTTAGATGTAAGATAGATTCCCAAGTATTTAACCTTTTTAACAATCTGCAAGTCTACTTGTTCCTGGAGTCTCTTTTTCTGATCTTGCGTAAGGTTTTTAACTAAGAGTTTCGTTTTTTCTTTATTTATTTTCATCCCCATAACCTCACCATATTCTTCAATCTGTTGTAAAAGTTTAGGCATTGTTACAAAGGGTTCTTCCATTATGAAAACCAAATCATCTGCGAATGCTTGCTATTTATAACTTTCATTCCTAATTCTAGTACCTTTAATGTCCTTGTTATCCCTGACATTTCTATTCAACACCTCTAAAGTCAGAATAAACAACAGGGGTGACAACCTTGCCTTGTACCCTTTTGTACCTCTATAGCCCTTGTAAGTTCTCCATTAATTAAAATCCTGGCCGATTGTCTTTGATAGATGCTTGATATCGCATTCATAAATTTTCCACCAAACTCCATTTGAGCCATCTGTTGTTTCATGAATTGCCAATTAACATTATCAAAGGCTTTCTGGGCGTCCAAGAACAGTAAAGCCATTGGTTTTTCCGTGTGTATCTCATAGTACTCTAGGATATCCAAGACAGTTCTCAGACTATTCTTCATTTGTCTTTTAGACAAGAAACCATTTTGGTCTGTGATTCCTGTTCTGTTAAATGTAATGCTTAAATAATAATAATTCTTGGCAGTTATTCCACAACATTTGACATAGTGAGTTGACCAAATCTTTCTTAAATGGGCAAAATGCCAAACCTTATTTCCC